ATCTCTGATTTGGTGGTGCTGCAAATTTGGGTATTATCAGTAAGCTGATGATACCTTCAACCTAAATCAACAGATGACCTTTCCCAATAGCCTTATATAGATATTAAACAGTAGCAGGAGGAAGGCCAAACCATATAGCACCCCATGTTGGAATAACCACAGAGTCATCACTCCTTCTTTCCTCCTTTTGATTAAACCAGCCCAACAAGATATGAACAGGACCATTGTAAAACAATACCAAACCCCCCCAGCAAGATATCAAGAGGTCTAAGAAGGCTAAGAGAAGCACACTCTCACCATTTAGAGCAAAACGAAAGTCTTCCACCAGAGCAACGAATGCTGTTACCCTACCATGCCTGAATCTCAACATTAGCTAGAAGGGACCTAGGTAAAACTCCACCAGGAATTTCTGTAATTGAAATGTTACCACTTTCTCAGAAACTTTCCCCATAAAAGGAAGGTTGGAGACAGGGTAGTACTTGTCCAGTGTAGCTGGATCAAGAGATTACTTCTTCAAGAGAAAGCCTACTCCTTTTTCTTTCAGAGCCAAGGGCATTTTTCTATCTTCTTTTATATCTGAAAGAAGCATTTACTCATTAATGCAACCATTCATACTCCCTTAATAGCTGCCACCATTGTCCTAGACATCTTTTCACTCTCATTTATTGGAGTTCCTTAAACCAAAGACCACTCTGTGATCATCATCATCAGCTGAGAAGAAGCTGTTTGGAAGCAATCTAGCCCACAGCAATCTAATTCCAGAGGCTGACCAGATATATGGTGGAACTAATATAGAACGGAGCAGATATAAAACTAAATCTATATTATTTAGATTTAGATCCATAATCATGATTTAACCATGCAAAATCAAGAATAAAAGGTTTGTGTCTTGCATTCTCTTTTTGGTACAGTGTGAATAGAAGCCATATTTAACGACAAAGAAAGAAAATAAAAATAAAGTAAAAGAACTGAGGGCAGAGATAAGTTTACATTGGTGTGGACAAATGCTGAAACAAAGATTGTCAATAATCTAAATAAGATGCAATTAACTTTAGTGAGACAGCCAGTTGATTAAAGGGATGAGAGCACTGACACACTAGTATAAACTGAAGGAGAATAATAATAATAAAATATAATATTTAGGTTCGTATCTGGCTATGAAAATAAAAATATCGTATTGGGTTGGTTTTTGTTATACAATTTTTGTTGCACAGTAAACTAACAAGTTCACAAATTGACTTTTTTTTTTTTGGTGAAAAGGACAACCCAGAATGGATGGGCTGATAGAACTGGGCTAATTTCATTGGTATGGTTAAGGCAAATTGCCTTAGTTTTTTAAGCAGGCAGGTGGGATTCATGTAGATAGAAGACATGTTTTACTATTTGTGAAGCTACTTGCATGATCAATAGGTATGCTATTAGTATAGACAGGACAATGGTGGGGGGGGGGGAAACCCAATTGCAATGCATGAAAAAAAAGTTGTTTTCTGGTAAATATAACTGGAAGAAGAATCTGCTTCTTTCAAACATCGAGTTAATGAAAAATTCCCTGACTTTAGCATGTTGAAGTCTGCTGGTCTGTAACCTCCTGCCATATGTCTAAAAGCCTGGCTAAGATTAAAACAGCATTTCTCAAAATGAGAAAAGAAAAAAGCCACCTGCAAATTAGAAAAATGGTTCTACTGGATAAGATAACATTGATGAATTTTAAAAGGCTCCTTTAAGTTATTGATAACAGGGAATGTACATAAAGTGCTTATGCCAATGGTGGTGAAACTCTAATGTGTAGGCATCCTTTATGTTTAGTAGCAAAACAGTCTTTTGATTGTATGCTTATCAATGTGGTGGGTTTTCATTGCAAAGATTACTAGTGAAGAAAGTGAGGAACTTTTCCCCTAAATCAACCATGACCTGACCTATTGATGGGAAAGGAGTGTTTCTGTTCTGAATTGGGTCTCCTAAGTCCTGCTTTAATGTTCCAAGACAAACAATGGCAATTTCCTCTATGATAAACAATCAGCCTCTAATTAGTGGCACATTGGCATTTTCCATGGGAGTCAGATATCTACCTTATGGCTGTAAAAGATGCATCTCTGCTTGATGTTTGGAAGAGTAAGTGTAAACACAAAAAGTGCATTATTGTGTAGTTATAGAAGTGAAAGGGGTGTGACTGAAAGGATGAGTAGAAACTGGAAAGTGCAGTGCATCTTTTAACCAGGCAGGAGCATGATTTCTGCTGTTTAGCAAAGCACTAAGAAATGTATGTATGAAAAGATATTGTATAGTTTTTAATTTAGTGAATAAGACGTGTTTGCTTGAATATGGTGTAGAACAGGCATGTCAAACTCACGACGTCACGTGATGTCGTGCAATGTATCAGGACTTTTTCCCCACTGCCGGCAATGCAGTGAGCACGGTTTTGGCATGACGCATCTGGCCCATGGGCCGGCAGTTTGACATGCCTGATGTAGAAGGTTGGCTGTATAAATTTTGTGTGAAGATAGTTGAATTTCAGCAACACAATTTCAGGTAGCTTTCCAAGACTGATGAGAGTTAAGGTTGAGAATGGCATCAGTTTCTCTTATAGGAGCCTCCCACACTTGTTGCTATCCTTAACCTGCCAGTGCCAAATATGTGCTCTCCCCAAATTCAGTGACCTTTATCATTCAAGTTTTTCCAGCAGTTCTCCCTCTGGTGAGAGTGAGTGAGTGTGCTGCAGTTGCCAAAAAAACCAACACAGTGCTAGGCTGCACTAACAGAGGGATAGAATCAAGATCACGTGAAGTATTAATACCACTTTACAATGCCTTGGTAAGGCCACACTTGGAATACTGCATCCAGTTTTGGTCACCACGATGTAAAAAAGATGTTGAGACTCTAGAAAGAGTACAGAGAAGAGCAACAAAGATGATTAGGGGACTGGAGGCTAAAACATATAAGGAACAGTTGCTGGAATTGGTTATGTCTAGTTTAACGAAGAGAAGGACGAGGGGGGACATGATAGCAGTGTTCCAATATCTCAGGGGCTGCCACAAAGAAGAGGGAGTCAAGCTATTCTCCAAAGCGCCTGAAGGCAGGACGAGAAGCAACGGATGGAAACTGACCAAACAGAGAAGCAACCTAGAACTAAGGAGAAACTTCCTGACCGTTAGAACAATTAATCAGTGGAACAACCTGCCTCCAGAAGCTTTGAATGCTCCAACACTGGAAGTTTTTAAGAAGAGAGTGGACAGCCATTTGTCTGAAATGGTATAGGGTTTCCTGCCTGAGCAGGGGGTTGGACTAGATGACCTCCAAGGTCCCTTCCAACTTTATTATTATTATTATTATTATTATTATTATTATTATTATTATTATTAGTAGTAGTAGTAGTAGTAGTAGTAGTAGTAGTAGTAGTAGTATTGTGGTCTTTGGCCTTTGGCCTTTCAGATGCTATCCTTCTCTGCACTAAAAGAAATAAAATGACAGTGGACTTACTTAACTGGAAATACTGAATACAGTACTCTGTTTAGGAAATAGAAACGTTTGCAACTTACATGTCACTTGTATAAGCAAACCTTATTCAATGTTTACATTTGGACAGATCCTTTGTTTTTTCTTTCATAATCAAAAACGTATTCTTCCTAGTTATTTGACACTTCTTCTGATTTTTCTGACAAAATGTTATTAGTCTACCAATAATACAAATTTAAAGAGTCAAATGGTGGTATATGGGCCTCATAATTATTGTGTGTGCTTGTATGTGTGTGTGTTTGTATACATACGTATATATATATAATATACATTATATATATATAAAATCATATTATATACAATCATAGAGAGAGATAAAATATAGTTATATGCTCTATAAAATTTGTATACATATAAGCTTTGTTATAACTAAGCTGACTTGTGATTGAGTTTAATAGAACATGTATTCAACTAAATTTGACTGATATGTTTCATGGTTTATTATAGTAACATTTCTGACTACTAGTCTCATGTCTCTGTACAAGTTCCTCATACAAGTAGTTTATTGAAACTTTTAAGGCTGTATAATGAGACTATAGTGCAATAGGTGGGAAAGATCTCCTCTTCCCCAATTGAGAAATATGTTCCTTACACAAAGTTGACCAATCAGTACCTAATGGCCATTGAATTCTCTGTTACTCAATGGGTGTTACATAATCCATCCATAGTTCATGACTGGCTCATGCTCTCTTTTTTCTGTTCCTTTCATGCTCAACCTTATGGCTGCCATTGCTCTTATGAAAACCTTCACAAGTGTGTTTGGGTGTTTCTATGTGTGTATTCATATGCATTAATAGTATGTTTACTACTGAGGATACTATAAACAGCAAATTGATAAATCAGTGGAGCCACCCAGAACGGCAAGTAAAAAGGTATTTGTTAATGAATAGCTGCAGATTTCAGTAATATTCTTTATTCAGTAATAGTCTTTCTGCATCCTGCTGGTTTGTCATTGTCTTGTGGCACACACAAAGGAAGGAAAAGCAGTGCATGAGAGCCTCCAATCTTGTAGGAAGGAACCTCAGCCTTGCAGCTCTAGTTAGGGCTGATCAGAGTTGGATTTCCACAACTGGAGGCTCCTGTACACATTGTCGATTTGATTTAAAGGGAAGGGATTCCCATGCTGGTCCAGAAAAAAACATTATTACCTTTTTTTCTCCCTTTGTGGCAGTCTTGAACACAAAGTGGCATTACTCTAGCTGTACATTTAAGCATGCAAGAGATAAAGAAAAGGGTAGGGGGAACTGGAGAGAAGGGGGTCAGTTGTCAGGGCATGAAAAATTATTTGGCTCATATGTAGAACTATCACATATTAAAGGGTTAACTGTAGGCTGGGATATTTAAACACTTCTTACTAGGTACGCACAAGCTTGTTTGTTTAGGTAAATAAATAAGGAAGGAATTAGATATAATGGGGAAAGAAGACTTTTCCTGAACACTCTATTCCTTGTATTCAGCTACAGCTCTAGCCTTGGTGCATAACTTTTTTTTAAAGATGCTGATTAGATGAATGCATTTCTTCTTATGTTCATTCTCCATTGCAGTTTCTCTGCCTGCCTGCATTTTCCTTAGTGTGTGGCAAGTACTTATGAGGGTATCTTTCCTTTGCAGGTTTGATACATCTTTGAGCATTTTACTTCTTGCATACAATACTTGGGTTCAGATGCAGGGATAAAGCATAGTCTTAGCTCTTTAAAGCACCTTAATCAACTCCCTTGGCTGTTCCATTCTCTCTTCTTTGACCACTTCATGCTCAGTGAAGGCACTTAAGATTGGCTGGAGCATTTGCCTCACTATTGGATTGATGCTGCTGCTGGTAATTGGTACTTCTCTGGACATCTAAAGGGTAAGTGTGGATGTTTCTAACTGATAGATTTAAGAAGCAGAAGCAAATTCCAGTGTCTTCTCCCTGCAAAGTCTTAATGGAGAATGGTAAATATTTTAAGACTTGTTGGCCAGTTCTTATGAGTTCAAAATCTTCACCGACACTGAGCACCAGCTAGCTTTGCAATTATAGAACAATTCATTGAAGTAACCCTGGAATATTCAACAACCTTTTAAAGTTGAATGGATAACCAGTCTTACTGCTTTGCTGACGTGGTATAGCTAGGCACAAATCTGTAGTTCAGTAGCGCCTATTCAGCTAGTGCTAATTTAGTACTGACGTGCCATTACATTGTGGGATCATGTGTGTTGCATTAATATGCAGATCCAATAATATGCAGTTTGAGGTAGCTGCTTTATATATTACAGAAGTTATATTGAAACAGGCTCATCCTTTGTCCATTGTTTCTCCTTAGCCAGGAATAGTTTTGTTACTTCTTTCCATGTTAGACTATTAGAGAATGATAGCTGTGATTCAAATTCAAAGGCTGGGGTACAATATCTCCCTCTAGATTGTACTAACTATACTGATCTCAGGATGTCATCCTACTATGATGGGAGTCAGTTGTGGTGCCATGTGGCTTGAGAGGAATAGATATGCTATATTAGCACATAAAAAACTACTTCCCCCTTAATGGACATCTATTTGTAATAACTAAGCACATAAATAGTGATTGCTAGGAGGTGGAAGATATCCACTAAAATTGCATTTTGCAATATATTTTTCTCCCCACTCCTCACGTGAGTAACCTCTCATTTCCCACCCTCAAACCACAAGCAAGTTGGCATCATGTTTGATTTTTTCTCTCTCTGTGGTTATGCTTGGTTAGTGAAACACAAATGACAGCTCACCTGCCAAATCCTTCACAACCATTTCTCATGGGTCCAGGATCCTTGTGGGGCAAGAGGCTTCCCAGGAGAGAGAAAGGGGTTTTTAAATAGGGGCTTCTCAGCATTTTGAGGAGAACATCAAGCTCTGCTGCCCATCTGGGGCATGCACAGGTTTATGTTCAGTTGACACTTCAACCACTCCCCATACTGTTTTTGTCTCAGAGGTAATCAATAGAGTACAGTGGAGAGAGGGCAGTCTGACCTTGGGACATAGAGACTTGTGTATGCAAAGGCATATGAACATCAAAGCCAACTCAAAATAAGGGATGCCATCATCCATGCATCTCAGCAACAATCCAGGTGAATTTCTGGATGTTGGTTGCCACCTTCTCTGATATAGAGATAGGACTGAAGATCTAAGGCAACATGAACATTTCTTCAAGCACATGGTGATAATTTCTGAAAAATGAACATAGAGAACTTCTTTGGTGGGAGATTGGGCAATCAACTGAGAATTGAGAATGAAATCCTGGGGAGACATAAAGGTGAGAATATGCAAAGGAATGATCCCAGGAATGATCCCCTGGCATACACCTCTAATGACATAATTAAGAAAAGTATGTTTGCTTTTTTCTCAACAACATTTTGGTTACTTGTTAGGTCTACTTCTTAGACTTTATATTGGATATACAATGTAATCATTTCCATTAAAAATACTATGCTAGCAAAATATTTTGTTCTTTGATTATGTGAAAATTTTGAAGATCAAAGCTTGAATCAGTTTTCAAAGTGAGCATATTGGATAATGTTGAGCAAGTATCAATACTCCACCAGTAAAATGGGCATATGGACTCATTCTAGGTAGTTGTGAGAATATCAGTCAAGCATTTTGCCCAAATCCTTGTATCTTAGCAATGACTATAATAAGCAATACCAATAAATAACAGCTGGGACAAGAGGAGTATAAAAATGAATCAGTGAATGATTCAGTGTGTCATCCTATTCATGGTTATTCTTGTAAATACTGTAGGATGAATCTTCCTTTAATGTATATAGAATAATACATTGTTTTAAGATACCATTTGTTTTTTCATGTAATTCTGGGCATAATGTATTTAATAATAATAAGCTGCATTGTGAACAATATAGTATAGAATCAATATGAGATTGAGTGGTTTGGTATTATTAATATTCTATAGTTACAATGTAATTTTTTCAGGCAGAAGAAATTAGAAACACGATGAGATGATTTTTCACCCATTGGATTGCAGATATTTTAACTGGGTTTTTTTTTAAAAACGAAATTATTTAATACTTGGGGCTTGTGAGTATCTAAGAATTTGGAATCAATCCTATCCTCGTACAAAAATCCTTTCCTCAGTTTTCCTCCTACAAGTGGGGACAATACTGCCACCTCTCTGAGATAGCTGGACTTCCTGCGTTGGGGAGATGCTACAGGTTCTTAAGTTGTTAAGTTGTTTCTTAAATATTTTGTGGGGAATTGCAAACAATTTACAAATGAAATAATGATGAAGAGGCTATAGTGCCATCAATATTAAATCTATTAATGTCTTGAATTATGACTTTCCAGTGTGGGGGGTTAATGATGAGTCTGAAGTAAAGTTACCTCGCTTCTGAAGAGAAGAGAAGCAATCAGATGTGAATATTTAAAAAAATATCTTAGCTTAGTTCCATTTCAAAAGTTCACATCTTACCTTTCTTATCAGCATTTTCTTAAGCATAATGTAAATTAACACAGTTGTGAACAATTATATTTCTGGATCTCTAATTATAAATGTAGTTGACCAAGTTTGCTTTGAATAGATGTGGATCAGAACCAGGGACAGTTCTCAAAGACTTAACATGTCTTTTTGCCTTGGATACCCTGTGAAGGAGAACTTGCATCCCACATTATGTCAACAAAATGAATATTCTGATCTTAGAGAGGTTCATATGTTGGTTGGGCTCTTCAAGATATGTGAATTCACAATGACAATGAAGTCAAATCACAATGTAATGTAATGTTTAATCTGTGATGGAAATATGTACATTGGCTATAGTAGGTGCTGAACCTCTACTACAGAGCAATACAAGTATATATGCAAAACTCTTTCTGTATATCTCAATCCTCATACACAAATCTGATATTTGGAATGTTTGGCAACTGAAATAATGTTCCATTTTTAACCAAGGTGCAATACCATCCTACAAGCATACAATGCCATCTTTGGAACTCAAAATATTCCCACTTTGCCAGCTAAATCAAGGCGGGCACACATTATTATTAAGTCCAATGTGACATATTAGGATCTTTGGATATGTTCTACAGAAAGAATATAATACCTAGAGTTGGGGTGGATGGGTAAAAATGTTAAATGAATTTTTTTTGCTATATGGACAATAGACCAGACTGAAAAATATTTTTCCATTCCAGATCTAGATAAAGTGTAAAGCTCTAAGTAACTCTGAAGAAATTTTATAAAGTGTGAGAAGAGGAATAGGATGGATAAAGAGGAAAGGGAAGCTGCACCAGTGAAAGATGTAGGAAAAGCACTTTAAAGCCATAGTAATAGAGAAATATCTCTATATTGCCATGCCAAATATTCTGTGTTTATGCTGCATTGGTTTTTGTGCCCAGTTTTCATTTAAGATTTAAAAAGGCCAGAAGACCTGCCAGGTGTTAAGTCACAGGCTCCTCATGCTTCCTTCTCCTGGGCTTCCAGCAGTGCTGTCAATCTGGATATGCTTACTTATGGAGCTGTGCTATTCAGTTCATCCTAAACCAAACTATTTGCTAATGGAAATTAGCAAAGTTTACTTAATAATCCCATTGTTTGGATTCTGTTTTAAATAAAAGCAATCTGGGATTTGTGGAAAACAGTAAAAAAAAATACAAATTGTCTAAGCTAAGGACAGAAGATGACAATTCTGTATGATGACTGGACTTAAAATCTGAATAGCTCCACAGCATAAAACACTGTTCTGGGTCAAATAACCAGAATTTGGTGCTTTTTTGTGGGATCTAAAAAACTTTTAAAAATATGGTTTTTATATTGACTATACATAAAAAGATTTATCGGAGCTGAATAATACACAGGTATGAAAAGAGAGTTTCTCTTGGAATCTGTCCATGCCAGATATTTGATACATTTTCAGTTCACTGTGGATCAACTGAATGGGATTTTAGGCCAGAGTAGTGAAGTGGAACAAGCAGATCATATTGCCAAGGTGATACTTTAAAAGCATGTTCTGTGTTGGAAAACTATTTGGCAAGATGTCCCAAAGGGGGTACAGTTGAGGGTTATTTTTTCCTATAGATTGTTAAAGATATTGGGTTCTGTTCTCATAACACACTGGACTAAAAGCTAGCCAGAAAATAAAGTTAAAACTTAAAAATTAGTCATGGATAAGTGGATTGTGCAAACAGAGGGAAGAATCATACAATCAGAACTAATTAACTGTTAAATGTGTAGAGAAACCCTGTAGTGGCATTCCTGAGGTATTGACTTCAGATGAAGGAACCAAAAGCATTTCATTTTTAGCTTACATTATTCTGGGAGTGAGGAAGCAGATGTACATGTTTGGTACATTAATATGATAACCTGAAGTAGAGCTTTATCTGCTTACTAGTGGGTTTTGCTATTTTGCACTGCTTCCTTGCCTCATTTTTGTTTAGTTTGTGTATTTGTAACACAGTACAGCAGTGTTTCTCAACCTCAGCATCTTTAAGAGGAGTGGACTTCAACTCCCAGAATTCCCAAGCCAGCATCACTGGCAGAGGAATTCTGGGAGTTGTAGTCCACTCATCTTAAAGTTGCTTAGGTTGGGAACACTACTATACAGTAAATTTTGTGGGTAACTAAAGAGCAAAGAGACAATGTTATCAGCAAATTCTAACAATGTTTTAAATAATCATATTACTACTTTCTTCTAGTCTTATTATTATTCAGGTTGTGTAGGTCATTATTGTAAATATCAGATGTTAGGCCAGAGTTTGGGACCCCCCTTAATCATTAGACTATAATTCCATCACTCCAGACCTTTAATGATATTGGCTGGGATTTACTGGAGTCCAATAATTTTAGAGGGTCACACATTACCTAAATTTATAACTTTAGAGAGACAGGTTAA